TATACATATACATAAATCAGACTCCAATAAATTACATTATATTCAGTATACTAATTGCATTTGGCACCAATGCTAGAGGCATTCTGTAATGTCGTTCACGTTTAAAGTGTAAATATGTGTGTGTGTGTGTGTTATGTTGTGTTATTACTGCAGGATGAAGAGATCTCATGTTTCAGGGACATCAAACCTGGAGCCCCCCATCACTACCTTGTTGTCCCAACCAAACATGTAGGAAACTGTAAATCCCTCACTAAAGACCACGTACCATTGGGTAAAGTTTAAACTGCATACTTTTTAAGTAACGCTTATGGATTTTCATTTTATATCACCTCAGACAATATTGCTGACATATTACTGACTAATGCTATGGATGGTTGGAAACTATTTTTTTAAAAAGTAACTGTAAATGTTTAAAATGGATCATCTTTTTTTATTGTTTATGTCCAGTGAAGCGGATGGTCGACAAAGGGAAGGAAATCCTGGAAAAAAACAACATAACGGACCTCAGTGATGTCAGGTGGGTTTCATTTTGGTACGTCACAGCTCTCCATGGTAATTTACATTAGTGGGTTATGAATGTATGACCTTCAGACAGTTTTAGTCATTCATCTTTTGTTGCCAGACCACCAAATATTCACCGTTTTGCGGTCAGTTTTGTTTTTTAGTTACCAAAAGAACAAGCACTTTATCTAGTCAGAATTATAGTAGATCATTTGTAATGCAGTTTAATTGCTGATGACTAGCATAGCCTTAGTTACAGTTTGCTTTGTTGTTATATCAGATAAAATGAGTTAAAAAAAAAACAAAAAAAATTAAGTAGTATTTCTAAACCCTTTTCTTTGTCTGCAGATTTGGTTTCCACTGGCCTCCATTCTGTTCTGTCACACACCTCCACCTTCACGTCCTGGCACCTGCCAGTCAAATGGGCTTTATGTCACGTCTCTTCTACAGACTCAACTCCTACTGGTTCATCACAGTAAGCCCCGTACTTCAGTACTACAAGTTACTGTGTAGAAACTTTATTTAAACTTTTTGTGTGGTATTGGAAATTTCAAATGAAAAAATGTAGACCAGTGTCAGTCTCTACCTTGTTCTGTATAAGGACATTGCTGTGTAAACCTGGTTTTAAGTAACTTGATTGCATCAGTGAACTGCCCTCTAGATTTGCATTGTCAACACATTAATATATTCAGTTTGGTAACTCCTAGTGGCATCATCTTAGTTCACCCAGGTGACATTTTAGGGTCTCACAGAAAGATTGCTGACAGTCTGACTTCTGTTCTGTCTGCCTTTGTTAATGTTTTGCAGGCAGACCAGCTGATTGATCTTCTCAACTCTAAAGGCGAGACAAACTGATCACTTAGATCTTGCCATACGTGACTGACTGCACCGAGGTGACTTGCAGATCAGGCGTCTTGCAGATATCATACTGGAAACTACTTTGCTGACTGTTTGGCTACAACTAATGACTGTATTTTAAACAGGTGATATACCTGCGTGAGATTTTATATCCTAAGTAGTATGAGACATAAAGCCTTAAAGCCTCTTTTAAAATCCCTAACAAGTGCTGTAAGGAACACTGGAGTTTTGACAAGATAGGTAAATTTATTTAAATCTGCTCTAATAAAATTGTATTGCTTTTAGGGACCAATGAGCAATCAACTTTGAATTCCTATAAAATAGAACAGTGTGTTCATTATCATCCTGTTACAGAAACACTTTCAGTACGCTTTGCTTCCTTCTTCCTTCTTAGATTACTGTATAGTGAGCTCAGTTAGACAAACACACTTGGGACACTACTTTTTTTTTTGCATTAAAGGTACTAGATTGTTGGCTAAATATAAATACTGACATGAATGTTTGTGATAAGTCCATATTATACCAAGCATATCTCAGCAAATTAATGAAACGTCTTTCTCTCTTTCTTTTAAACTGACTGTAAATTTCCCTTTGACACAGTGCAAGATATTATACAATGTGGGTAAAGGCCAGAGGTAGTGTGCTATTTTCTGTGAGGCATTATGGGCTACTTAGAGTGCCCTGTATACACTGACACAGAGACAGCACAGAAGATACAGTGTAAAACCCACTGTATAGTGAGTGTTCTGGGATTTCAGATTTCTCACAGGCCGTTCGATTTCCTGTCTTGCACAACTGCTTTTGTGCCTTGTATGTCTGCTCTATAACATGAAACAGCAGAAACCCCCCCGAAAGTTGGCATTATTGATATCAATCATATATAAACTGATAATCTTGGCTATGCGTTCTTACATCAAGCTTGCAATTTGTGAAAACCACTCAGTAATCCTCTGACGCTGATAGTAATGTTAATTTATTTTGTTCTTCATGACCTCATCAAGCAGTGAAGTACAATGGGGGGGGGGGGTGGGGGTTCAATGTCATGTGGAAAGATGAATGAAAGTATGTGCTGTGAAATGATGTTATACTTTACAATGGTAATTGGAATAAAACCAACAACAACAAAATGTACTGTACAAAAGGTATGCACTTTAAAAATGGCTTTAATTTAGAATAAACAGTATTCTGTTGCTTCTCAGTGCCTTTGTAGTATCTCAGTATGGTTTACATACAGACCCTTTTTCAGTTTCACTCTTAACTCACCTGCAGTAACACTTTAACACACAAGACATTGTTTCTTATGTTTATTATGATACAATTAGTGTTAATCTATTAATGCTGTGTGTTTAAAAAAAATATATTCCTGTACTTTCATACTTTCAAAAAGAGCTGGTACTCAGTCTATAGTTCCTTATGATGTGGTTCTTATTGCTTTAAAGCTTCACTATTAGTTTCAAAATTTGGAACTGTAGCAATATTGTGTCATTGCAAAGCACACTTAAAATAAATACATGTTGAAGCAGTCAGGCCAAGTCGGGTCAAGTTCATCCTATAGCACCATTATGTCTGTCACAGGCAGCCTCATGTTCTCTTTGGCTTCGGTTCAGTCTCATTAGCAAATCTGATGTCATCTCAACTGCTCACTGCTCCACTTTCACCTCGTCAACCAGCTGCTGGAGGGAAAAAAATGCTCAGGTTCGAACAGTTACCTTTTCTCATTTTGACTGACATTTAGTGGTTTCCCCACGTTCTTTGTCTGCACAAGCTGCCACATCAAGTGCCTGTGTACCTGCGTGTACTGCACGCACAATGAATCAAGGCATCTAAACATTTCTGGTCACTGCAACAAAGTGATAACTACGTGATCATCCTTCCCCTGCCACAGCATCTCCCCTTCGAAGTCAACCAGTCTCTGTTTCCTCGCTCGCAGAAGAATCCCAACCAGTTTATTCGAGATAGTCACATAATGCTCAAACAACTTTCCAAATCTTACAGTAATCACTTTCCCATCGCTGCCCCCCGACTCCCCAATGCTCCTTATGACCTCACACAGCTCCTGAACCTCTCGGCTGATGTGTGTGTGAGCATCCTTCCCACGTTGCTCTGTCAGGGAACCCTGCAGGGGTTTCCCATACTCATCCCCTCCCCTCGAAGGGACCACCGTGCTCGGTCTGGTGTTGTGACTGAAGGGATTGTGCTTCTGGTACTCCTGGTGTTCGCTGGACCATTTCTGCCAGTTTTCCTTCAAGCCTTTCACAGAAACGATGCACGCCGCAGGAGTTTGGGCGTTCTCTTCTGTTTCCACGGTGGCGCTCTGGCTGTTTGTTCCCATGTTTGACTCTGTTCAAGACAAATTTGAATATACAATCATTTCTCAACAGAGAAATACAGCATCTTAATCTTCCCAATGTTACTTTATTGTTTCCAAATTCTTTAAATCTCACCTACTTATTTTTCACACAACTGTTCTTGTGATCCAGCTGTGTGTATGACCACATCAGTTATGACTGGCAGCCCCAACCTTAAATCGTAAATTCAGCTGACAGCTCATTAAAACGAAATTACTTATTTCACACAGTTAATATAATGTTATTATCAAAACAACGAGTCAACATCTAGCTTTGTAAAGTAACCTGGAAGTTTTCAGTCCTTCAGATTCTCGTAGTAAATCTAAATAGTGACACACTGACCTGATCCTCCCTTCACCTGCAGTTACGCTTCATTGCGACCAAAGAGCAAGAATCCTGGTTACACTGTTACTAAGTAATACAACTTAACAACACTGCAGCAGTGCTGACAGAGGCAAGAGTGCGGATGGATGCCTTTTTGTCACCAGACAAAACCACTGTGATGGACATCAACTTCAGCCAGTGACACGGCAGAGACAACCCGGACAGCCAATCAGTAGGAGGGGCGGTCTTACAAGACGGCTCTGATGTAAAGCAGATTACAGACTTTATCCACACATGTATGACCAGAATAGTAAAGCATACCGATGTGTACTGATGACAAAAATTTGCTTACTTGTGACATTAAAAAGACACATACACACAGGTTTATGAAAAAAGTGATAAGGAGTTTTTTTTTTTAATGTAAATAAAGGTTGCAAAATAACATTAAAAACGAAGTATTCACCTGTGCTTATGTATGATAATGTTAGCATAAAACAGCGGCAGTACAAAACTTAATACGAGTGTATCATAGCTAAATGAAACACAGTACCTAATTTTTCTGCCATTTATAGAAATACAGTCCCCAAGCGGTACTTTGTGTCAGAGCTCGGTTTCAAGCCGGACGTATTTTTAAATTGCGACAACAATGGCTGCCTTCAGTAGTCGATCATGCCTCCAGTATTTATTGCATCTTGCCCAGGATAATCTAGACTTCAGGTTACCGGTAACAAGCATCAGATATTGTCGGTTTCTCTTTGGTTCAGAGTGATTAACTGTTCGTGTAAAAAGCGATAATTTGCAGACTGGAGTCTCCTCTGACTCTCGGTTTGTGTTGGGCTCATTCAAAGTATGAGCCCAACACAAACAAAAAAAGTAACCTTCTTTTGGAGACGAGATGTCTACAATTTGATCACAGCAATACATCAAACTTGAGAAATGGTCTGGCAGATAGAGTATATTGCGTTGTTTTATGGCATTATTTTATGCCTACGTCACATAGAACCAGTTTGTAATCATTTAATTTAATATTTCATATGTGATTCTTCTGTTTTGTGTAACATTAGTATTCTCGCTTTATATGCCGTCTTATGCAGGAAATAAAAGCTTTGCTGGCTCTCAGAGGGAAACCATTTCGTCCCTGTGAAAACTTCAGAGAAAAGGTTTGCATGTTGAGGGGCTTATTCTAATCTAACTCTCTATTCTAATCTAAGACATTGATTATTGGAAGCAGAATGGTGAAGTTTCTCTTTAGTAGATCCCACATTTCCCGGCAGTCACTCCACATCTCTCCTCTTCTCCGTAGTCTCCTTTCTGGTGCCTGGATGGTTTGTCTGAGGAAGATGTCCGCAGCATCATGGCCAGATCTGTGTGTGCAAAGTAAGTGTTTAAGCTTTGCAGTTAGGAAAGTGAAAGAGCCACATCTCTACTGATGGAATAACTGTATGCTGCACAGATTCAAGACTGGCTGAGATGTGGCTTTAGTTCATGTTGGGTTGTCCTTCTAGGTCTGCTTTTGAACTGTGGGGCCACGGGCAAACACTCAGTGAACTCAGAACATCCCTTCTGAACTTCCCCTCAGAAATCATGGTTTGTTGTTTAGAGTTTGTGTCATACTATTCTGTTGGAAAGACAGATTTTTGCAAGTGTATGCACTTTAATTTAAAATGTTTACGTTACACAATAACACATTTCATTTCTGTTTCTGCTCTTCATTCCCTGCAGAGTCCATTCATGCACAAAGACTCCACATACAGGATAAACGTCTACACATTCAACAAAACTTTGCTGTTTGCAGACAGAATCAAAAGGATCGATGTAAGTATTTAGATGTGCGAGTGCATGTAAAAACATATAAATATGCACATAAAATAATAATAATTCTAATAGTAAAATGCAATCTCACCAGGCCTTGGAGTATCTTCCTTTTGAGGGGACAGTAAGCCTTAAGAATCCCCAGCACATCTTCTGCTTATTAGAGGATTACGGCACAGACCCCAACAATATCCCCGAGGATCCCAATTACATCTACTTCGGCAGATGGGTAAGATGCATTTTGCTACTTGTGTACATTAAATGAATTTGGAGCGATCTACAGCTGAACTCTTCCATTTTACAGATAGCAGACGGTCAGCGTGATCTGATTCGCTCCCACAGTGTGAAGAACAGACACTTCATAGGAAACACCAGCATGGACGCTGGCCTCTCATTCATCATGGCCAACCATGCCAGGGTCAAACAGGATGACCTAGTTTTTGACCCATTTGTAGGCACAGGTAAGTTAATCCAGTCGTTGCTTCCCCCCACAGACAGCTATAGACAGCAAAGTAAATACTTTCTTTAATGTGAGTCGATGTGTTTTAGGGAGCCTGCTGGTTGCGTGTTCTCATTTTGGAGCTTATGTATGTGGAACTGACATTGATTACAACACTATTCACGGGAAAGGTAAGCTCTGCTCATTAGAGATTACACCCTGCAGCAGTTGAAGTCTTACAGGTTAAGGATTGCAGTTTTATTTTATGCTGTTTTTCTATTTGAATCAGATCAATCCCCTGTTCAGATTTGCTGATGGTGCCTTTTGTCTTTTAGGTCGGTCAAGCCGTAAAAACCAAAAGTGGCGAGGGCCCGACGAGAACATCAGAGCCAACCTGCGGCAGTACGGGATACAGAAGATGTACGTGGACGTGATGGTGTCTGATGCCTCCAAGCCTGTGTGGAGGGATGCTGCTCTGTTTGATGCTATCGTTACTGACCGTAGGTCCTTTAGTTCACCCTAACCAGACCACAAAGGATTTAACATCTCCTTTCATTAAATATCTCTGTTATTCTTTAGATTTGATTGTTTCTTTGAGCTGTTACAAATAAATAAAAAATGTTCTGAAAATATACAATTATCAGGATTCTGACAGGGAGTGAAAAGCTTTAGCTTTGGTTCAGGCTGTAATTTGAAAATTATGTGCTGCTCATTAAAGTCTATTGAACACATTATTTCTGTCTGTTTCATGGATCATCTTTTTATGTTTTGTGTGGCTCTTCAGCTTACGGACACTCCAAGATTTTTGATGTTTCTTTAGAATTTGAGTAGCAGTACTGCAGCTAGCACGTTCCTCAGCTACATCTATTCTGTCTGTGTTCTTCGTAAACAGGAAGAAAACTCTTCTTGTTTTATTTTTTTGATACTCACTGTGTGACTTTTCTTGTTAGCTCCATACGGTATCCGGGAAGCCACGAGGAGAACAGGCTCCCACAAGGACATTGCTAAACCCGCTGAAGGCGTGTAAGTTCATCACATATTATAGTTATACCAACATCCATCTATCTATCAATCTATCAATATACATATACATATATATACATATACATATATAAATAACTGGGGAATTAGTCCAATGTTTAGTCCTGAGGAAACTAGTACATGAAACGCCAAATAAAACCACAAAGTTTTGCCATCACTGCTCTGTTCTAAATGTTGTATTTCATTTCAATCTTCTGCACAGTTTTGAAGAGTCTCACGTCCCAGTCTCACAGGCGTACCACCTGAGTGACATCTTCACAGATCTGTTAAACTTCTCCGCCCATCACCTGGTCATGGGAGGAAGGCTCGTCTACTGGCTGCCTGTCTACAGGCCAGAGTGAGTAAACAGACTTGGCATCATCACCTAGTCATAAACATTTTCAGAGTGATGATAAATCTGTTCAGTGTAGGAGGTAACTTACCAGTTATCTTGTCAGTACTTAAATTTGTAGAACTTTGTAATTGTTAGCATTTTGGGGTGGCGTCAGAAAGACATCTGATGCCAAGCTGAAAGCTTCTGCTTTTTCAATGCATTCAAAGCAAATATAATATACAGCAGTGTTTCTGGGTCATTTTCACATATCTTTGCTTCTTTGCATGATAGAGCTTTAACCTGCATTTATGGATGGCACGGCTGACTGTGTTTACACATAATGTTTTTAATGCAGTGTCACCTGAGGGCATCAACAAGCTAATGTTTTTTTTGAAATAGTAATAACTAACTAATAAGCATCATTTTTGCTTCTTGTTTATGCCCTATCCAGTCATGAATATGTCCTTTCAACTTGTTATGTGTATTTGGATTGACATATATACATATCCATACACATGTGCAAACACAAAGTGTATAAATAGTGGGTCACTTCTCGCTATACCTTGTAAAAACCATATTTTTATACCTCTTCGACGTAAACTGAGTCACGCTGACACATTACTACAGTTCAGCAGCTCCTTTACTTTCCCCACAACAAAAAATATTTGTGTTGCAAGTAATACTAATTTTAATACATCATATATCTTACAAATAGCATTTATTTAAATAATGATCATGTGTGGAGCCAATACAGAACCCTGGAGGAAACCACATACAGAGTCCAAGCAGTTACAGGAGTATTCACCCAACTTCACAAAAAACATGTATTAATTAAATGTTTTTTTTACTCAGTGCAATATAACCCTTAATTAATATGTCATGACTGATTGTATCAAATGTTTTTAAAATACCTTGAAGTCCTCCAATTGCATACCGTTTCTAAACAATAGTATCTGTAATCTCTTTGATTGATTCAGTTAATGATGGTGATGTTGATCTGAATCCATATTGACCGTCGGGGAGTAATTTAAATGTATCGAATAATTTGTTGAATCGGTTATTGAACAGTTTTTCTAGAGGCTTGGAGAATTGTGGGAGTTTAGAAACAAGCCTATAATCTTTGAAGTGGTGTCTATCCTCAGTTTTATACAGTGACACAATTGAAACTATTTTCATATTGTATGGACTTTTAGCGGCTCTCAGATGCTTTTAAAACCTTCAATCTTCATATCAGTATCATTGCAGTCAGTGGATGCTTTGTAATTACACTTATTTACAACATTAGTAATTTCTTTTTCCTTTATTCCCCTTTTCACTGCTGTAAAGAACACTGAGTTAGGATTTCAGGATTCATTGCAATATTCTTGGACTATAACAAGTTATAAGGAAACACCTGGGCTGTGTAAGGTGAGCTGGTGCGTCACTGCCAAGATAAGATGGCAACTGCATGTTTAGTTATTGTTGATTACCAACAACAGTTTTGAATTCGGAATCCAGATTTTAAGCTCAAACCTCATTATCTCAGTTTGTCTTTGCCTTTCTTTAAATAATGATCTGTACAATAGGGGGCAGGCTTACGCTATAAACCAGAAGCGCACAATGCAGGCCTGTTGTAAGCACAACCGACAAGGTTTAAATTTGTTTTTGGCCTAATTAATTACCCAAATAACTAAACAATATGAAGCAAAGAGGGAATACATAGCAGACACTATTACATTTTATAAAAATGACTGATTACTGTCTATAATTAAAACTGGCTTTGTGATTTTTATTAAGGGAAAAGTGAACCCGAGAGACAGACGACAGTGTTTTACTGGATTTGTACACTCACAAAGGACCTTCTACTATCTTAGGGTATTTCCCTTTATTCAGATTCCCATGTCTAACCACCTGTGTGGATTACAGTAATGTTCAGGTGTGCCGAGGCTTTCTTGCCCATACAGCTGGGCCACGGCAAACCACAACTGACAGCAATGTGCACTTTATATGCTGCCTAAGACGGCTCATCAGAGACAAAGTTGTGTATTGTTAAAGGTTCTGTGCGTTTGCAGAAAGCGAAGTGCTGACTCTCAGTGCAGGTGTTCATTTGTGTAGGTATGAACCACAACAAACTAAGGCAGAAACGGACGTTAGGCAAGGAAAAGCGCCACAGGGCTCAAACGCTTTCTGGTCACTCATTAAAAGACCAGGAAGCAGATGGGATAATCACGGATCCAGTCACCGGCTGTTATTGTATCCTTGTGACTGAGAGACATCAGTTTGCAACCCTTTGACTTTTATCCATTTAGCCGCTTTGTGTTTCTGCACGCATCGAAACATATGCACGAATGTGTGTGTGTGTGGTCCCGTGTACGCGCACGTGCACACGTTTGTGTCACCATGTTCACACATTTGTCTTTGCTACTCATCTCATCGGTGCTTGACCCGGTGCCTGTCAGAGCGCCGTGCCAAAATAAACATCTGAGGCCAGGCAAGTCACATGTATGAACTATGTCTCTATGGTGTGCAGGCTGATCCGCGAGTGTGTGTGTTTGTGTTGTTGGATATGTGTGTGTGTATAAACCCAGACGCAGCCTGTCTCCTGGGTCTAATCTGGGGCTCTACAGGGGAGATATCAGGTTTCCAATACCCCCACATACATGTGTGTGTGTGTATCTGCGGCAGTGGCTGTGATAGAAACAGTGGGGACTGTGTGTGTGTGTCCGTCTGCCTCGTGAAAATGGGGGCTGTGTGCGTGTGATGACAGGGGACACAGAGTCCTGTCAACAAAAGACAGAGCCTAGACCAGGTCAGACCGCTTAAACTCTCTTCCTTTTCTGCCCTCAAAAAATAAATGAAGAAAAAGTATCGAGACGGATGATGTGTTATCCATCATCAAAGCCATAAAGTGAGCTAATTACAACATAAATAAGGGAAGTAAAGATATGAATCAGCTGCATAGTCAGAAGTAATATTAGATGAATAAATGAGTAGTGGTGACATTTTCAGATTGTAATTTCTTAGTCGAGTTTCAGTTTCCAGAGAAATCGTATAGCAATAATTAAGCTTTTGCATGCTTCTACATTCAGTGTGATGCAACAGTACGGTTGTAATTTTTAGTTAAACTGTTGAACTTAAACAGCAAGTCTTCTCTGTCAGTTACAGTAAAGCAGACACTTGGAAGCGATACCTGTAGTACCCAGAAGCTGCGACCTGTCTATTGGAAACGTGAACATCAGTCTGTAAACAAGAAAGACTTGCAACTCAGACCTTGGTGATAGATTAAGGGTGCAGCACTGAAACGGGGCAAAATAATGTGTCAGTGCAAACTAGGGCTGCCACGATTAGTCGACTAGTCACGATTACGTCGACTATCAAAATCTTTCTTTCGCTGCTCAGGTTAAACATATATAAGTCACTTAGATAACTTAAAAATGTTATTGTTTGGCTTTTCTTTTAGTATTTTATTTGTTCCTGAGTAAATCAGTTTGGCTGAGATTAAAGTTTTAGTTTTTACACAACTGAATAAACGTCAAGCAGACAACTGATTATGAGAAGTGTGAGATGCTCGAGAATATACTCCAGTGTCCCGTTATATTTTAGATAGCAAGGAGTTTATTAAACTTCACTGAAACAATCTGCAAATGTCATTAAAATTTAATAAACTATCATCTTGTCTTTATTTTTAGTTAGCACATACCTTAAACACTTAAAGCTGTAAGCTAAT